AATAGGCAAATGTTCCCTTCACAGCTCAACCTTAGCCTGACCCCAGCTCAGCCAGGCTCTGCGTGCCCTGCCCTCCCCTTCCTGCCCCTCTACCCTGCCTTGTTCAGCAGCCCTGCTGGGCTGTGCCCCAGGCACTTGGCCTGGACCCGGCCCTGCCTTCATGCTTCCAGGTTCAGCCGAAAACTTCCTGTACTTTATCTCAGCACCCTGAGAGGTGAGCCCCCACCCCCATCTTACAGAGAGAAAAAGGCTCCTTCCAGGGACTGGCCTGAGGCCTTGCAGCCCCGTGCCCAGCGGGTGCCCAGACCGCCGCCCCAGCTCTCCCGAGCCCTGCCACTGCTCACCCGCCCTGCTCCTGCTCTCATGTGTGCCAGCGGCGAGGCTGACCCCTGGGCCTCACGCTGAGACCTGCTGCTATTTCTCTGAGAAAGGAAACATATGTGGGAGAAGGAAGATAGAAGACTGCCCCGGCCCAGCCTGCAGAGGCTCCCGGTGAAGGAGGGAGAGGTCTTTCTGGAGAGGTCCCTCTGGGCTGAGAGACCCAGAACCAGAGGGGAGGGAGAGGGAAGGAGGAGGGGAGCACCTCAGGGGAGGAGCCCCGAGCCCGGCCAGGATGCCTGCAAGGGCGGCAGGGGACCCAGGCCAGGCAGGCACTGCAACACCCACCCTTGGGGGTTCAGTGGGAACTGGGGAGCCAGTGAGATGCTTCAGTCCCCTCTGCGGAGGAGGAGGAGTCTTGAAATGACAAGAGGCCAAAAGAGAAGGTTTTTAAGACAGAGAAACGGTCCTCAGGGTCCACTCCAGCATTGGGCGATCTTGGGCTCGGTTCCTGCCTCTGATGTCCTCCTCTCTTGCCCCCCAACACGGGGTGTGTTCTAGTGTGCCCCCAGTGTGGCGCCGACTCAGGGTCCCCCGTGGGGCGGGTCCCCCCGCTGATGACCTGGCCACCCATAGTGGACACCCAGGTCCCACCCCAAGGTCCGATCCAGTGGGCTGGGCTTGGACCAGCGGGTCTGCACTCCCAAAGAGCACCAGGTGCTCCTTCCCCCCGCCCCCCTCCACGGTCCTCACTCCCCAAGAAGCACTGACCTCTAGCTGGTTATGCAAACCCCAACCCACCTGTTTTTGAACACGGGGGCTCATTTACAGCAGGGTGGTCTGTGGCTGCTCTGGGGCCACAGTGGCAGAGCTGGGCGGTCACGCACCAGTCACAGCGCCAGCCAGGCTGAACACAGTCACTCTTCTCTGCCCTCCTCTTTTCCCAGGAAAAGCTTGTCCCCGCCGCCCCAGCAGACCCATCGTACTTCCTCTGAAACCCCGAAACACCACACTTGGGGACAGATCGCAGTGGTCATCGTCCTCCTTGGTGGGTAGGGGGACTAGCTGCCCATCGCCATGGCCACACCTCTCACCTCTACACAACCAACGTGACACCTGTGTGTGAAGTGCCACCCTGGGGCCAGAGGACGGGACAGCTCCTTACCAGTTAGGCAGGCAGCAGGGATGAAGGGTCCATGGGCCGACAGCATCCGGGTCGGACCCTTCAGGATGGGAAACGTGTGGATGGGCAGGGGGGACTTCAGAGTCCACCGGGCAGGTGGGACAGCACAGGTGAGTTCAGGGATGAGGCAGGTAATTCGCCCTGGCTGAAGCATGGAGTTCCTGGTTGGGGTGGGAGGTTGAAAGTGGGTTTTCGTGGACCTTCCCTGCTCAGGGTTGGTGTGAGAGTTTCTCGGATGTTTCTCTAAAATCTCAGCCTGCCTGAAACCC